AAGATTAAGCTCTGTACTTGCTCTGCAGCTATAGCTCTGGAAAAAAAACCCTTCTTCATAATGCCTTTCAAAAACAAAGTGTGTATTGTATTTGGGAGCATGAGATATGAAAAAAAAGGGAGGGAAGAATCAGAAAATGAAGGGAAAGTAGAAACCAAGGACTCTAAGAGTGTCAAGATGAGGAAATAGAAATCTGGAATGAGGAAGGGAGATAAATGATTCAGGAGTGATACCATATTTTTTTCATATCTCATGCTCCCAAATACAATACACACTTTGTTTTTGAAAGGCATTATGAAGAAGGGTTTTTTTTCCAGAGCTATAGCTGCAGAGCAAGTACAGAGCTTAATCTTCAGCTTACTCACCCCTCCCCTTTTTCTGCTTAGCTAAAACCCTAGCTGCTGCGGAAGACTGGTCTCCATGGATGGAGCTATGATCTGGCAAAGCTATGGAATAGGAAGCAAGACCAGAAGCCCTAGCAACCAGCAAAATTGCCCTGAGCTATGTTAGCTTGATTAGCAGAATGACTCTTCAAAAGAAGAGATAATTGTTAACACCTGTGACATGAAAAACAATGGGCCATTGACTCCCTTTGCTGCCTTAATGGTAATACCAGAGCTGATGCACTGTGGAGCAGGAATCAAAGCAGGGCAAAAAATCAATTTCCCAGCTTAATACACACCCCAATGTTGGGGTGAAAAGGCACATTGTATATGAGAAATAGGGTAAATGGTTCAGAGGTAAGAAAAAGGTGAGGAAGATACAAAGATGTGGAAAGGCAAGTGGGTGGGAACGAGAAGAGGGATGAAACTATGGTCAAACGAACACCAGAAATAGAGGCAAGGGAAAGGGAGACTGCTTCTCCATCTAGGCTTAATTCTATGTTCCATGTGACACCATCGTCTGTTAAACCAAGGGCCTGGTTTATTTGGTCCTCCTAGAGCTAATCAAGTTCCCTTTTTAGGTTCCCAGTCCAGCAAATGAGGGAGGGTGAGAACTCCATTTTAATAGATTCTCCTAGACTAAACGTGGCCGTTATATTCCATAGCAAATGCATTGGATTAAAAATAATGCTGTGAGAGAGGAGCTGCAGGCTCAGACGGTCATCTGGAGGGAAATGACTTCAGCCGAGTTGATCAACTCATTAACTCGCAGCTTGGGACGCATGCCATTTTAGTGGGAATGATGTCCATCTCTGCCTTTATTCAGATGGACCATTAGAGTGCCATGCTGCTAAACTTCAGTAAATATTATGCAATGTGTGGGCTTTACTTGAAAGCTCTGACTTAATTTATATGCCAAAAGCTGGCTATAGACTTACCTCATTTTATTGGTTTAGGGTTCTGTGGGTTACAACTGCTCTGAAGGTTACAAAGAATATATATTAGTGTCGTGCAATTTATTCTCATTCCTTATGGAAAAAATGTGCAGGATTTGATTGGGACAAAACCATTAGGGGCTTCCTGAAAATGAAGTGGGGCTATTCGGAGCCGAAGGCTGATTCAGCGAGTTCGTAAACACACATTTGTTTAACATGCAAATCATTTGTTCACACGTCTTCCTTACACTAGAACTGAGTTTCCCAAACTGACAGATTGCGCACCACTGATTTTAAAACAATACAACCTTAAGTACCACCAGCAAATTTTTGTCATGGAAAGTAATTATAATAAATCTGTTAAAGTATACCACTGACAGTCTGTCTGCATATCACTGGTGATACGTGTACCACAGATTGGGAACCACTGCTCTAGAACATTGGACTTTTACTGCGGTCTTCCATCACTGATGGCCTCATGAAATTAGTCTTTTTGCTTTTTCCCCACACCAAACCCCAGTGAACAATCTTACAGGATTCAGTGGGATTGTTTATGTGCTTAAAGAACGTGTGTAAGTAGTCAGCTGAGTTGGGGCCTAGTAGGATTTTTTTAAGTGATTCCAAACATCTATATTTATTTGCCAGTCATGGAACAGCAGCAGCATTTGTGGTAGGTCACTCCTCTTCTGGCCTGTTACTTGTCTAGTTGGGTGTCCAAAGCCAACAATTTCAAAAGTTTCAACGCAGCGCAAAAGAGTGTTTGATTTCTTAATGGAGAAATAGAAAGCATCTTGTCTGTTTTCTCTTTGTAGGTCATGAACATCCGCAAAGTTCTGAACCGAATTGAGAAACCACAGGGGCTTTATCCTAACTTTCTCAGCCCGGTCACTGGGAACTGGGTGCAGCGTATGTATTGGTCTCTTAATCTGAGCCACATATAGCCACAAACGCATTTCAGCATTTGCATCATTCTTTAGAAAGTGAGGGGAACTGCAAGACCAGTGAGCCAAGGAAAGGTATCAGCAGCCAACTAAAGCCCTCGCTAACGCTGATCAAGGATTTCATCATACATGGTGATTAGATAAACATAACCCAATTCAGAGAATGCAGTATAATCATCTTTCACAGCAGCCTTATTTCCAGCTGCCTATCTTACCTCCAGAAGGAGGTGTCGAGCCTGTCGTGTTCAGGGAAGGATTATGCTGCACGATTCATTGCACAGATATTAAAAATCAGCATATCTCTGAAAGCATCATCCTGCATTCCTTGTGTATCCCGTGTTCCCATTAGCTTCCCTGGGATTTGTAGGCAACGTGCTGAAGCCTGGAGAGATTTGTTTGCTGTGTATTAATGCAGCCAGTAAGGGACCATCTGGGGGAGTAGTGAGGAAGTGAAATCTGGGGTCCTCCTGGGAAAACAGCCCAAGAACCATTAGGAACAAAGGAAACTGTTTCCCAGCCCAGTCAGTCACTCACATGCATCTAATGCACCCATCACCATGGCATCTGCTGCTGGAACTTCCTTCTAATGCAGTGAGTGCGATGTGGGTCTTCTGCGTCAGTGTTAGGACCACAACTGCAGCTAGGTGGAAAGGGCCAGTATTTAAGCAGATAGGCCCGCAGCATAGAAGAGGGAAGGACATCTAGTAAACACGACATAGGAATGATGGGAACAATAGGAGTGACGTAGCCAGATGAGAAACTCTGCTATTCCTGCCTCTTCCTAAGCCACTCGACTGCTTCAGTCTCCAGAGAGGAGCTGCAGGATCTATTTTTGCTGCCCAAGGGCAAAATGTTGCTCTCCAATCCGAATGTCAGGTCTTGATTCTGGCTTCTCCCCACATGTCCAGCCTATCACTGGTAAAATTTTATCATAGGCATTTCTGCCCTCTCTGTTTTCTTTTCTAAAGGGAAGTTTGGGAGAAACTGGTTTTAATCCAGCCACATCAGTGGATTCAAATTTGTCCCAATTAAGCAGCCATCCCATTTAAGCAAAGTTCATTGCATTCATTACATCGCACCCTTGTTTCATATGTCTGCTGTGCTCAGCTTGCACTCCTGGATCACTCACAACCTTTTTAACCACTGTATTAGCAGTAATAATAATAATTGACAGGGCAGTTGAATGGCTGCTGTTGCATGAGACAGCGCTAGCTCTGAGCAATCCCTGACCTTCAGCGTGCTGTCTCAACACCTCTAATGGTAATTGGCAGGGCTCGGGTTGAAAATCTTCCCAACAGGGTGTCATGGGTGATTATAGTTGTCCCATTACACTAAAACTCAGGTTCAGCTCGGTGAGGGGAAAAAAATCTGTTCTCTACATCCCATTAATAGGCCTTCCAGACTCTCCGCAGCCCCTTTTAGTGGCTTCACCTGTCCATCCCCATTTGTATGGGCACAGTTTCTGCAACATGTCCTATTTTGAAAACTTGATTTTGCCACCTCAGGCTATGTCTTTCTCCAAGTTAATTTTCTTTAAGTTATTGCCACTTAGCATCAGTGCTGCCCTTTTGTCTGGGATGTTGTACTAATCCTGTCGGCATTGATGCGCAGAGGAGGAAAGGCACTGTGACTCTGACCTGCAGATCTGTCCTTCCAGTGACTGTTAACGATCCTCTTCCAAAAGGGTAGTGTTCACAGTCTTCTAATCGCAAGTGATGAATTCGAGTGGGTCATACATGCTGCTTGGAATTCAGCGTTGATCGGTTTTGGCCACCATTTCAGCATGACTTTCACCATTGCTTCCTTTATAAATCCATTAATTTAACTCATTTTAGCCAACCCACTCAAATCACTGTGGTACCTAGCCATCTTCAAGCTGATTAATAATTGTTCCTGGACAGTTGGCTTGGACAGAGTTTACATCACAGAACTAAAGAAAAACACGCCAGCAAACTGAGGCATCATCAGGGCATCTCCTGGGTGGAGCAGCATGTTGGCTAGTTCTGTGGTTTGAACCCGGTTTCCAGGGAAGCAACAGACTGATCAGCTTCTGCTGGATGGAGTCAGCTGAGTAGACTTCGGCTGTTGCCTGCCACGGAGACTTCTCCAGAGGCATCTGCCTTTCATGTTGTCTCACTTCATTTAAGCCAGTTGCAGGAAGCTGGTTTTCTTGGAATCCTTGTGCTCTTTTGAAAATGGTTAGAACAAGTCATCACACCTCCAGAGAGGGCAGGAGTTGCTCTCCTTTTGAACAGATGCACTTCCCTTTTGAAAATGAGTGCACCATCCTGTGCTGAAATTCAGGGCTTATTTGCATGGAGGCAGATTCTGGCAACACTTGTAGCATGCGAAGAACAATTGGATATCAGCACTCCCACTTTGGCGTTTTCGTAGGATCTCCCATCTCCCGGTTAAAAGCAGCCTGTGTTCGTACAGTATTCTGTCCTCTTTGCCAAATCCATGTTTCTAATCTCCATAGTTTTGCCATGGATTATTCTGTACATCGTTGGACATAATTTATGAGATCCGTTTGCTCTCTGGGTCAGCAAAATGCCTGGCTCCTCATCTTTCTTGGTAGGAGTTATTCAGAATAAGCCTCAGGACTATGTATGCACAAGGAAAAAGGAGGAATGAACCAGGATAGCTATTCTGAAAAAAACCTGCTCTAATTGCCTGCATTTAAATTTAACACATGCTGACACCTGGGTGGATAGCCAGGGTTGATGACTACAGTTCAGTCTCCAGTTAAATGGTGATGGAAAGGCAATGTGTCCCTCTCATTTGACATGTGAGTGAGTTCTGGGTTGTTCCAAAGAATGAGGGTCCTCCTCCTCTACCCCTAGTGTACTTTAAAGATGTAAATCTGTCCAGCAGGTTCCCATTTAGAGTCCTGTAGGCCAAAAAACTCCTACCGTCCTACCTGTTTCCTGGAGTGATTAGTTAGTATTCTCCTCCTAGGTAAGGTCAAAACACTGTGTACTCTGAACAGATAGCCTTGAAAATCTAATTGCTTCAGAAGGCAATATTCTTTGTGCACTCCCACACCAACCTTTGTCATTTTAATACGTAAGCAACCCAGGGCCTCTGCGTGAGCTCAGTGTGCTACCCCATGTGGGGAATATAAATCACAAGACCTGCCTGCCCCCATGAGCTGTTCTGCCAAATCCTCCTTTTCCTGCTGTGATACTTAACCAATTCTTGTCCTTCTTCCATTTGTTGCAAGCTTGGGGGCAAAAGAAGGGGGTCTTTTCCAGTGGACTCATAGCTGCAGATCTGTCAGTCCTTCCCACTGCCCTGAGTTTCTTAATCCAGGGTACATCATGGTTATCTTATAAACAGGAATTTAGGAGACCATGTACATGATTTGCAAAGTAAAAGGCCCAAATTGAACTGAGTGCACCTGGCACTTTGTAACAAAACAGTATTTTTTTTTTTATGATTCCACTTTCCTCCTCGGTATTTTTTCTTACTGCTAACAACCAACAGGATACTGAGAAGGCAGCAGAAAGACTTGAGTGACGCTAATAAATAAGGGTGTAATTGCTCTGTTTTGTAAAGGGGCTGCAGATTGCAGGTATCCAAAATAGTTGTGCAGCAATTTCTCCCTGGCTTTTCCCCCTCACAGACCACGTCTCCATTGGGGGACTCGGGGACAGTTTTTACGAATATCTGATCAAGTCCTGGTTGATGTCAGATAAGAGAGATGCTGAAGCTAAAAAGATGTACGATGATGCACTAGAGGTAAGGGACATGTTTGATTTGCTTCTGTGTTAATGAACAACTGCTTTGCCCATAGCAGTGTTACAGTCCACTGTTTGTTTATTTGCTGTGTTGGTTTTTCCCCTTCCTGCAAAATTATTTTGCATGAGTGAGTGTATCGATTTTCATATTTTGTAGGCAATAGAAAAGCACTTGGTAAAAAAATCTGCTGGAGGATTAACCTACATTGCAGAGTGGCGAGGTGGCATCTTGGATCACAAAATGGGCCACTTGGCTTGCTTTTCTGGTGGCATGATAGCCCTTGGAGCAGAACATGCAGGAGGAGAGCAAAAGCACCAGCATATGGATCTAGCTGCAGAGATAACTCACACTTGTCATGAATCTTATTCACGGTCAGGTAAGCAGCCCGGACTGAGGGGAAAACCTACATATAAGACACTGTGATGGGTTGTGGATTTACAGCCTTGAAAGGGCTGAATCTCATGTGCCAGAGGATTGCAGTAATTTATTTGTGTTTCTGCGGCACTTTCAGTCCAGCTAATAAGGCCTCTCAGCTTTCATTTGTCCTCCAATCTCCTTTATGGGAGAAGCTGGTACAGGTATCCCCATTTGGCAGAGAGGGAAACTGAAGCGCAGAGAGATTAAGTGCTTTACCCCATGTTTGGCAGAGCTGGGAATTGAACCCAAGTCTAAATCACAGTCATTTGTTCAGATATCAAGACTGCCCTTTCTCATTTATCAAGGGACAGTCTGAGCTGAGGTCACAAAGGCCATGGATGCAGGTGTCGCGGTGGATGTAGTCTTTCTGGACTTCAGCAAGGCCTTTGACACCGTCTCTCACCCCATCCTAGTTAAAAAACTAGGCGACTGTGGCATCGATGCCTACACAGTCAGATGGATTGCAGATTGGCTGAGGGGTCGCACTCAGAGGGTGGTGGTGGATGGG